CCCCAAAACCCCCAAAACCCCAAAACCCCAAAACCCCGTGGTATATTAGGTGAATAGAATAGTAATTATTGTTTTAGAAATGTTTATTGAGTATGGGCTTTTACATGCCCTCGTTATTTTATTGAAGATCCACTTCTTTGGAGTCCTCCCGACTGTCGCTATTCTTGCTGCTGGCTTCTGGGCGCTCGCTAAAGTCTTGGATAAGTGTGGATACCAGTTCACTGTTGGCCAGGATTTGGTGTTCTTCTTCAGCTCAGGCCATGAATCTGCCAACTGTGTAGGATATATCGAAATGGAGAAAGTCAAAGCAAAGACTCTGAAACATGAGTGCTTTTACAAGAAAGCAATTCTCAATGTCAGGAAGCTCAGACAAGTTCCTGTAACTTTCCTGGGTGTACAGCTCTGGAAAGACGTCACTCCTGAAGTTGCTCTTGAGCAGTTTAGGATTATTGACAACAAGTTCGAATCGGACGATGACGTAATAAAACACTGAAATGAGTGGGCCAAAACGAATATCTCGATGGACAAGCCTCAGTGGGAACTCCAGTTCAAAGAAGACCACACTGAAACAACATCACTACTATTTCTAAAGTGCCACCACTCGTTCACCGATGGAGTCGGAATAATCACTTTGTTTGCTTTGTTGAACGATGACTCTTTGTGTCCGAAGATGATGCCGAAGTTCAAAGAATTCTCATATTTACAAGCATTTATGCTTATCGCATTTACACCAATCTCTCTGATATGTCAAGCTGCAGTGGTGTGGTTCCACAAAGTTGAAGAGTCTAGCAGGATGCTCCACACACCAACTGGCAGGCTCTCTGATGAAGCTGTATACTTGAAAACAAAGACCTTCAACTTCAAAGACGTCAGGAAGTGATACAAACAGTTCGACAACACCACTTTCAATAACTATGTGATGGGAGTGCTCAGCAAAAGTCTTCACTCTTGGTTCCACAAGAATGGTGTTGAGCCTCCTCAAGAACTTGTCATGAGTTGTCCTGTGTCGATGAAGACGCTCCCAAAGTCTGTCCGCGACATCGACTTGAACAACTACACCTCCAGCGTGACCATGGAGTTCCCAGTGTGTGAAAGTCTGAGCGAGTCTATCAAAATAACACGCGAAAGATTTTCAAGATTTGCAAAGTTCCACCACCTCATACCGACTGTGTATTTTCAGAAGCTGTTCAAGTACATCCCCAGAAAGATTGGGAGCTTGCTGTACAACAACTTCGTCAAAGAAATGGATTTCTTGTTGACCAATGTCAATGGACCCAGAGAACCCATTTATCTGTGAAACAAACAAATATGTAAGCCATTATTATATCGAAAATTCTAACATGACAATATAGTGAGCATCACTCCTTTCCTGAGCACATTCTCGAGCCTGAGTCTGGTGGTGGTCTGATTCTCGTACAACCAGAAAGTCAGCTTCCAGATCATCGCTGACAAGCAACTGCAGATGGATCCTGCTGACTTGAAGGAGTTCTTGGAAACTTACTTTGACAGCAGGGTTATTAAACTAAAGAACGAGCATATTTAATAAAATGATCAGCTTTTCATTGTTTATGACGTAATGAGGGGTTTTGGGGTTTTGGGGTTTTGGGGTTTTGGGG